CAGTTTAGCGCTATGGAGGAGTACTGGTGCTAGAATTACTGCTCTCACTCTGTTGTGCACGACGATATGTAATGTTTATCGCAATCTACATTTTCACACATAGGCGCCCTGAGGTGTGCATTTACATTCGTACAAGCGTGTATGGGGGGGGGAGGGATGTTATGTGCTTTAAACTTTATTTTTAAAAAATTTTTTTTTTTTTACTTTTTTTTTTTCATCACATGGACACAAAGTCCCCTATGTGATGATTTTTTTTGGTGACAGGTTCTCTTTGAGACTTGCAAGGTCTAAAAAAAAAAAAAACCCATGCATGTCTCCGCTGGGCTCCATTAGATGTACATCTTTCCTTGGTGATTCTAGCCAGCAAAATGATGTGGAAGTGGCGTCATGGATGTCGCCTTCCAGGCCACACAAAGAAGCTTCCTCTCTCCTCTCCACCTGCCATGGCTCTCCCCGGGCCCCCAGATGAGCAAGCGGAGTCAGGTTATATGGCGGGAGCAAGCCCACGAGGCAGGGCACCAGAACTGGGGGCTGTGGAAGTGATTGGCAGCAGCGGAACCGCCTAACTACTTCCACCTGACAGTCAGGAATTTGCCTGTCAGTTTTACATACAATCCCGGTGGCTGCAGCCACTGGATTGTGTATAAAACCCCCTGCTGTCAGGTCCGTACTTTTAAAGCTGAACTGCAGACAAACGGCTAAATACACAGATGAAATACATATATGGTCAGCACAGTGGATTAGTGGTTAGCACTTCTGCCTTTTAGCACAAGTTCCCCTATGCTTGCGTGGGTTTCCTCCGGGTACTCAATTTTCCTCCCACACTCCAAAGACAAGCTGGTAGGATAACTGGCTCCTGTCTAAATTGGTCCTAGTACGTGTATGCATGCTTCTGAGATGGGGACCTTAGACTGTAAGCTCCTTGAAGGTAGGTATTGATGTGAATATCCATATGTGAAGCACTGTATAAAATGTCAACACCATTCAAATACCTATAATAATGATGATGATGGGAGCTAATGCAACTGAAGCTGCACAGCGATGACATAATCTCCTCGAAAAGCCTTTATTCAATCACAAACTGTATACAAGATGTCCCTGCCAAGGGCTGCCCCTCCATAATGCATCTCACCCTGATGAGTTTAGTAGTAAGGATAGAGGTGGCCAGGGTGGGGAAGTCTCTCATATACTAAGCACGATTAAAAGCAATAGCAGTCATTTCAGAACATCATTAAGTGGCACCTGTGCTGCAAAGTGTCACCCTCTGATGGGCATTCTAAATGAAATCGCTTTACTCCTCTGTCAGTTTACCTTAATAAGATGCCCCAAACAAAACGGGTATGTACATCAACAAAATGTGACTGCCCAAATTTCCAAACACAAGCTTTCATACTATGATGGATATACTGAAATAAAAACATGTCACTAGGTGTCTCAGTACTACTGTTTGAATTGTTAAATTGGTTCTATAGCCTAAGATTTTTTACCTGAAAGGATAAGTTCACCTTTTAAAAAAAAAATATAAAAATGCACATTTTTTGCAGGTAACAAAATGTGCATTTATTTATTATTTTTTTTTAAGATGAGCTTATCCTTTAAGGTAAAAAAAAAAAACCTTAAGGCTATAGAACCAATTCAAAGAGTAGTACTATAGCACCTCTGGTACAGGCAGGCAGTTACCGAATGACAGGATCAATGAACTGCCAGAGCACTCATCAGCGCCTTGGTAGTTCATTGAGAACTACAAGGCGTCAGCCGCAATGGCTGACGGTACTTGTAGGCATTCATTCATAGAACAGAACATGGACTTGTGGACAGAGCCCCGCACAGCTGCACTCTTTTTGAATTGTGACAGGGAGGAGATCCCCAGCCTGCTCTCAATTGGGGAGAGGAGGCAAATGTTGAACGTTACACCCTAAATATGGGTGTAACATGTTCAAAAAGGTGAACTTCTTTAATGTATTAAGGTAAAAACTTGCTTGTGCTGTTTCTCCCCTCCCCCCATCTGAGCTGTACCGGAAATGCAAGAGACTGAAATCACATTACATTCAGCTAATTACACTGCTTGCATGTAAAAAATGTCTAATCATGTATCTGAAATCTGAAGCTGCATTTTTTTTTTTTCATATCTTCCTGCAGTTTTAACGTTATGGGCGCTTTCACCCTGCCCCCGCTGCCACTGCATGGTTGCAGTTTAGTGTCCCCGCAGTACCAGTGCTAAAGCGTAGCAGATCAGTGTGAAGCCCCCATAATTGACGGTTAATAGTCATGTGTGGTCTTGAGCACATAAAATACATTCTTAATTGAAGATACTTAGTTTCTTGCAATTTTTTGCTGCATTTACAGATGTTTGGACGTAGTAATGAGAGCACTTCTTTCGTATGACAACTATACCTCCAACAAAGGGAAGTGCCACAGCTGCGTGTAAAGGGTAAGTGTGTGCTTTGTTCCAGTAACAGTACTTCTAAATTACTTACAAAGGCATCAAAGTAGTAGTAAAAAGAAATACTGACAGCATAGTCTACAGTGGACACTCCTTTTCAAGCAAAAATTGTCTTAAAGAGCTTGGCTCTGCCCACTGCATGTTATAATACCATGCCATAATAGTAAGACATCCTAGCCTGCAGGGGATGTTGTTTTTAGCTACAGTGGGAATCGAAAGTTTGGACACCCCAGCTAAAAATTTGTATTAATGTGCATAAAGAAGCCAAGGAAAGATGGAAAAATCTCCAAAAGGCATCAAATTACAGATTAGACATTCTTATAATATGTCAACAAAAGTAAGGTTTTATTTCCATCATTTACACTTTCAAAATAACAGAACACAAAAAAATGGCGTCTGCAAAAGTTTGGGCTCCCTGCAGAGTTAATATCTTGTACTGCCCCCTTTGGCAAGTATCACAGCTTGTAAACGCTTTTTGTAGCCAGCCAAGAGTCTTTCAATTCTTGTTTGAGGTATCTTTGCCCATTCTTCCTTACAAAAAGTTTTCCAGTTCTTTGCGATTTCTGGGCTGTCTGTCACGCACTGCTCTTTTAAGGTCTATCCATAGATTTTCAATTATGTTGAGGTCAGGAGATTGTGAAGGCCACGGCAAAACCTTCAGTTTACGCCTCTTGATGTAATCCCCCGTGGATTTCGAGGTGTGTTTTAGGATCATTATCCATTTGTAGAAGCCATCCTCTCTTTAACTTCAGCTTTTTCACAGATGGCATCAAGTTACCATCCAAAATTTGCTGAAATTTTATTGAATCCATTTTTCCTTCTACTCGTGAGATGTTCCCTGTGCCACTGGCTGCAACACAACCCCAAAGCATGATTGATCCAACCCCATGCTTAACAATTGGACAGAGGTTCTTTTCATTAAATTTTGTGCCTCTTCTTCTCCAAACGTACCTTTGCTCATTCCGGCCAAAAAGTTCAATTTTAACCTCATCGGTCCACAGAACTTGTTTCCAAAATGCATCAGACTTGTCTATATGTTCATTTGCAAAGTTCAAACGATGATTTTTGTGGTGAGGACGTAGAAGAGGTTTTCTTCTGATGACTCTTCCATGAAGACCATATTTGTACAAGTATCTCTTTATAGTGGAATAGTGTACCACAACTCCAGTGTCTGCCAGATCTTTCTGGAGGGATCGTGCAGTCAAACGTGGGTTTTGAATTGTTTTTCTCACAATCCTGCAAGCTGTTCTGTCTGATATTTTTCTTGGTCTTCCAGATCTTGCTTTAACTTCCACTGTTCCTGATGAATGCCATTTCTTAATTACATTCCAAACAGAGCATATTGACATCTGAAAACGCTTTGCTATCTTCTTATAGCCTTCTCCAGCTTTGTGAGCGTCAACTATTTTCAGTTTTCTAGACAACTGCTTAGAAGAACCCATGGTACTGATTGTTGGGGCAAGGTCAGATGAGTCTGGGCATTTAAAACCTTTGAGATTGACATGACCTGGTCTTCCCAGATGATGATGAGAACAATCCATGACACTGGCAAGTCTCAGCTTTGCAAAGGGGGCAGTGCATGCTATAAATTCTGCAGGGTGCCCAAACTTTTGCAGACGCCATTTTTTTTTTTCTGTTATTTTGAAAGTGTAAATGATGGAAATAAAATCTAACTTTTGTTGACATATTATAAGAATGTCTAATCTGTAATTTGATGCCTTTTGGAGATTTTTCCATCTTTCCTTGGCTTCTTTATGCACATTAATACAAATTTTTAGCTGGGGTGCCCAAACTTTCGATCCCTACTGTATTTTCCACTTCAGCTCTTGACTGCATGAAGTAGACTTGTATAAAAAGAAATACTGACAGCATAATCTACAAGCATAATCTACAGTGGGCACTCAGTTTTAAGCAAAAAATCTGTGTCTTAAAGCGTAACTTCGCCTATAACAATTTGGTAAAAATATAATGTTCTTTAGCAAGGCACATACATTCCACATTAATAATTATTCTACCAAAATTAGTGCATGCTGTAAATTGCCTCCAGCATTGTTCCTGCTTCTTCTTGCTGGAGGCTACCATTTTGCTGAAGCCCAGAGCCACTGAACAGCAGTAAATCATAAAGTGGAAACTAACCCATCGATTTAACTGTTTCAAAAAACCGTTACATTCCTGGAATGCCAGAATCGCTGACGGTCCCATTTGCCTGTGTCCTCAACCAAACTATCAAACCATCAAATGGCCGGTGTCATAACTGATCACATGTGTAGCACCTTGGTAGTTGCAGATCAAATAGAAGCAGCTTCCTTGGCTGTAAAGGACAGGAGGGTTTAATTCCGCTTTAAGGCTGTCAGCAGATCGGCCTCTTCAAATTTAGTACTGCCTAGAAATGGAGAGCAACTGAGCATGTGCAGAGAAAAAACATTTTCATTTATATCAATTATACAAATCTAATCATATTTATTTATTTATTTTTAATTTCAGGATCCTCATGGATACTTTACCAAACTAAAAGTCTACCAGCTCCTGCAGGTGTTTCGTATGTTTACCAGCGAGAATGCGGTTCACTGTGAGGAAGGTGCTGTTCGTGATCTCCTTCATTGTATTGGCGGCGTTAGCTGCACACCTTGGCCAACAGATGTTAGAATGTCAGCAAATTCTTGATGAAGGCTATGGCAGGAAAAATCGTGGAGTCATGAAGCCAGAGAGTGAAGAATTAGTTATGATGGATGCCAATAATGTAGAATACAGATACAGTAAAGACATGCCTCTTATATTTATTGGTGGAGTGCCACGAAGTGGTACAACCTTAATGAGAGCAATGCTGGACGCTCATCCCGATGTCCGATGTGGAGAAGAAACACGTATTATTCCACGGATTTTAGCTATGCGCCAAGCATGGTCAAAATCTGGCAGTGAAAAGATGCGCCTTGATGAAGCTGGTGTAACAGACCATGTAATGGATGCTGCTGTACAAGCATTTATACTAGAAATCATAGCCAAACACGGAGAACCTGCAAAACTTTTATGTAACAAAGATCCTTTCACTTTGAAATCGTCCGTTTATCTCTCCAAACTCTTCCCGAATTCCAAGTTTCTGTTAATGATAAGGGACGGACGTGCCTCTGTACATTCCATGATCACTAGGAAGATAACTATAGCTGGCTTTGATTTAAACAGTTATAGAGACTGCCTCACCAAGTGGAACAAAGCGATAGAGATTATGTACGCACAATGCTTAGAAATTGGGGAGCGAAAGTGCCTTCCTGTTTACTATGAACAGCTAGTCTTGCACCCTAAGCACACGATGCAAGCAATTATAGACTTTCTGGGCATATCCTGGGATGATGCCGTGCTGCATCATGAGGAATTGATCGGGAAACCTGGAGGAGTGTCTCTTTCAAAGTCAGTACTGCTCTTCATTCCATATCTGTGTTCATTTTAGAATTTTAAACATTTCAGTAGACTTGACTGTTACCTTTTTATGTAGCCTTTATTTTATTAGGTTTTCTTCAAAATATATTGTGCACCATGTTTTGCTGAAAGGAGTGCTAGAATGTACAGTGCGTCAGAAGTGTCATAAAGCCTTGGGCTGCTGCTGTCCAAAGTGTAAATACCAAGCGCAATGAGGCTCCAGGGGATATGTGGATAACCACAGCATGGGCAGCTCCAACAACTCATCCGACCAGCAATGAGACATGAGCAAAAATCAACAAATAAGGCAGCGCTTCCAACCCTGTGGAAGTCAATAGAATCACAAGCCCAGGAACAGATAAAACCGAAATTCACTTTAATCTTCGGACAAAAAGCAGGGGAAGGGGCAAGTTCCTAAAACATGTTATCATGATAACTGGCTTCTCTCCTTTTGGTTTGGCATGGTTTGAGTTCTCCCCTAGGCTTCCAGTTTGTCCTCACCAGCCCTTGTTTGGACGGTCTTGTGCCAGATGTCTGATATTACAGCTGGATCTGGGACACGTGACTTCCAGCGAATGTGGCATTTTAGTAATCCTGGCAGCTGCCATCCACACACTCCTCCCATTGTCCTGAGGCTCCTGGGCTGAGCAGCTTACTGTTTGGGTCCAGGAGCATGTGTTATCCTCCAGCTTCTGGGAATTTGTGTTTCTCCTCTCCACTGGCTTGGTGATGTATCAATCTGGGTACTCCTATATGTCATGCTTTTTAACCCAACATTAAAGTGAATTTCAATTTTATCTGTTCCTGGGCTTGTGATTCTATTGACTTTCTCAGGGTTGGAAGCGCTCCTTTGTTATTTTTGTGCTGTCCAAAGTGACCAACAAGATGGTGCTTGCCTTTAGATGGATTAACGCACTTGGGGATAAAAGATGTAGTCCAATAATGTGGTCATATTGCTTAAAGCAAAACTAGTCAAATATGGAAAGCATATAAGCAGGTGGGCTATTTATTGCAGAAGAGACTTGAATGCGCAGCACAGTTTACATTTCTGGCGTGGTGTCTGTGTGGGAGTTGCTTGGACGTTACATCATCCCAAGACAGCTGAACACTGGCACCAAAAAGAAAGGGAGTAGAAGATGCCAGGGAGGGACCTTATAGGTGTTAAACAGTTGGGAGGTGAGTATTGTGGGCATTCAAGCTATGGCCTGTAAAGTTCAGTTTTAAAATGAATGTAGTATAATTCTCATCTGACGAATTATACCATATTGCCCTGTCAAAATCAATGCCATGCTTCTCTCTGTTGGATCAATTCAGCAACAATTATAGCATGCAGTATGTGTGGCTTGTGACCGTTTTCAGTACAATTCAGAAATTTCTCATACATGTAAAAATCTGCATTTTTTTGCTATAAAACTTCTTAGAACCCCTAAACCTCATACAACCCCAATTCTGAAAAAAATTGGGACGCTATGTAAAATCTTCATAAAAACAAAATGCAGTGATTTGCAAGTCTCATAAACCCATATTTTATTCACAATAGAAAACGTATCAAATGTTTAAACTGAGAAAATATACAATTTTAAAGTAAAAAGGTAATTTTGAAATTGATGGCAGCATTATGTTTTCAAAAAAGTTGGGACACGGCAATAAAAAGCTGGCAAAGTAAGTGGTACTAACAAGGAAAAGCTAGAAGAACATTTTGCAGCTAATTACGTTAACTTGCAACAGGTCAGTACTGTGATTGGGTATAAGAAGAGCATCTTATGCCCCATACACATGATCAGAAATTCGGATGACAAAAATAGCTCTTGGAGGGATAGTACTATAATCTGATTGTTAGTACACAGCTTTCAACAGCAAATCAGGACAGTTCATGCGACAATATCCGAAGGAACAAGCACGGAAATTTTTCTCGTACGATAACAGCGCAAACAATTTTCGTTTAATCAGTACAGTATTTGTCCGGAAAAAAAAAAAAAAGAGACCAAGTCAATGCATGCTCAGAAACGAAAGAAAACATTTATATCTTTTCTTTCGTATGTGAATTTCCATAGCTTTAATAACCTCTTGCTTTTTGATAGGAGACAACGAAAAATTGTGTGTATTCGGCATTAGAGTCAGAGTGTCTCAGAAGGAAAGCTGGATAGAGGTTCAACAATCTGTGAAAAAAACTGTCTAAATATTGTCCAGCAATTTCAGAATAATGTTCCTCAAAGTAAAATTGCAGAAACTTTAAATATATCATCATCTACAGTACATAATATCATAAAAAGATTCAGAGAATCTGGAGAAATTTCTGTGCACAAGAGACAAGTCCGAAACGCGATATTGGATACCCATGATCTTTGTGTCTTCAGATGGTACTGCATTAAAAACTGGCATGATCTTGTGATGGACTTCACTGCATGAGCTCAGGAATACTTTAACAAATCAGTGTGTGAACACAGTTCTGTACCATCCAAAAATGCAAGGTAATGCAAAAAAAAAAAAAAAGCCATATTTGAACATGATCCAGAAATGCCAACATCGTCTCTGGGCCAAAAGTACACTATATTGCCAAAACTATTGGTACATCCCTCTATATCTTTGGATTCGAGGTGTTCTAATCACCTCCATGGCTTCTACAAACATTTGTGAAAGAATGGGTCGCTCTCAGGAGCTCAGTGAACTCCAGTATGGTACCGTGATAGGTTGCCACCTGTGCAATAAGTCCATCTGTGAAATTTCCTTGCTACTAAATATTCCACGGTCAACTGTTAGTGGTGTTATAACAAAGTGGAAGCAGTTGGGAACAGTTGTAGGCCACGTAAAATGACAGAGCGGGGGTCAGCGCATGCTGAAGTGCGCAGAAGTCACCAACTGTCTGCAGAGTCAATAGCTAAAGATCTCCAAACTGTGAGTGGCTTTCAGATTAGCACAACAGTGCGTAGAGAGATTCATGGAATGGGTTTCCATGGCCGAGCAGCTGCATCCAAGCCTCAAGTGCAATTCAAAGTGTTGGATGCAGTGGTGTAAAGCACACCGTCACTGGACTCTAGAGCAGTGGAGACGTTCTCTGGAGTGACGAATCTGTCTGGCAATCCGATGAAAGTGTCTGTATTTGGTGGTTGCCAGGTGTACGATACTTGCCTGACTTCATTGAGCTAAGTGTAAAGTTTGGTGGAGGGGTAATTATGGTGTCGGGTTTGTTTTTCAGGGGTTGGGCTTGGCCCCTTAGTGGCAGTGAAGGGAACTCTTAAGGTGTCAGCAAGCCAATACATTTTGGACAATTTCATGCTTCCAAATATGTGGGAACAGTTTGGGGATGGCCCCTTCCTGTTACAACATGACTGCGCACTAGTGTACAAAGCAATATCCATAAAGACATGGATGAGCGAGTTTGGCATGGAGGAACTGGACTGGCCTCCTGACCTCAATCTGTTAGAACATCTTTGGGATGAATTAGAGCGGAGACTGCGAGCCAGACTTTCTCGACCAACGACAGTACCTGACCACACAAATTTACTTCTGGAAGGATGGTCAAATATTCCCATAGATACACTCCTAAACCTTAAGGAAAGCCTTCCCAGAAGAGTTGAAGCTGATACAACTGCAAAGGGTGGGCCAACTCAATATTGAACCCTATGGACTAAGACGGGGATGGCATTAAAGTTCATGTGCATGTAAAGGCAGGTGTCCCAATACTTTTGTCAAAAGAAAAAACGTAAAACGAGATTCACAAAAAGTGGTTACATTATGGACAGAATGCAATACTAGAAGTAGTTTCCAAATATTATGCTTTATTTCACAATACACATGTGTACAATTAAGGTTAATACCTTGGTTCACCATCACCTCAGTATGAGAACACAAAAACAGACCTAAAATCACATAAAAGCAACGTCAGGACTGGTCTTAGTAGTGATGTGCTGCAGACATAGTGACAATAGTCTAATATATTTGCAGCACTGACACATTGGTTACACCGCCATGCAGGAGGTGAATCAAAATATTGTACCAGATAAGCATAGCATGCATTGCAATAATGGCTGATAACAAGTACCAAATGATAATGATGTAGTTACCCATGAACCTAACCAGGTTATGTGGGTGATAAATAAATATGTATAGGGATGCGGTTATCCTCTGTAATAACCAAATAAAGTATTGGCAAAAGTTAATGACAAGAGTAGATGGTGAAATATTGAGCCGCAATGAATATGTCCATGTTACTTGAGTATGGAATCAGCAATGTAAAAATCACCATTGACTTCCTCAGTATTGTAGAGATGGCAGGGCCCTGCCTTAAGGGGTTTCTTCACCGTGACATGCGGGCTATTAACCACCTTAATATTGATGTAGTAATGCGAAGTGCTGGGTCCTCTGTGCTTTGAAATAAGTGTAGGGTGCCGTGCACCTATACATGCTGTCCTCATCCTGTAACAAATAGGTGACATATGGACAGTCAAATATGTTCCTTGTAGTATATATGTAATGGTGGACATGCGCCTTATTTCCGTTTATCTGTGCAGCAATTCACTCACCACCCAAGCCATAGGTGATACTCTTACAGAGTATCCTTCGTCTGGATGACCAAGCGCAGTCCCGGAGGCAGCCGCCACCATTCCAGAGGGCTTTCCTCCCACCTTGGTGCTTGTTCAGCCTAGCACCGCTCGTGGCCAGCGTATATGGCTGGTTTCCCTGCTGGTCAGCGTGTATGGCGCCAATTTGTGCGGCCGGAAGTTACGTATGATGTCAACGCGTTTCGCCGATGGGCATATCTAACTCTGCTTCGTCAGGAAGTGTATTTTTTATAATTGTCTGTTACAAAATGGAAAACTGTTCTGTAGTTAGACAAATCAACATTTTACATTCTTTTTAGCAACAATGGGCACCGCATCCTCCAGGCTAAAGAGAAGAGGGACCTGCTGGCTTATTAGCTCTCAGTTCAAAATCCTGCATCTCTGATGATATGGTGGTGCATGAGTGCGTATAAACCGTAAATAGGTACA